GTAGTATCTTACTGCAGAAATTCCCTATAGAGAATCAGGCATGACTTGAGATGGTTGAGGATTTTTTTTGTGTGTGGTGGTGGTAGTTGTTTTGTGCCAGTCTTGGGGCCAGAATTCAAGGTCTAGCTACTGTTCCTGAGCTTTTTTGCTTAAGGCTAGTGCTCTACTATTTAAACCACAACTCCACTTCTGCCTTTTTGGTGCTTCATTGGAGATAAGCATCTCATGGACTTTCTTGCCTGGGCTGGCTTCGAACTTCGATCTTCAGATCTCAGCCTACTGGGGAACTAAGATTACAGGCCTGAGATACAAGCATCTTGCTTGAGATGGGTTCTTTAACTCCAATTCTGTATTTCCTCCTTCTTCTCCACTTCATACATTTCCTTTCCTTCATAGACTTGTTCAACCTACAAGAAGATGACTGGTAATGAGAGCGAGAAATGATACAAACTTTCTCTTTCTGAGACGGGCTTTTACTTCATAGCCCAGGCTGGTCTCAAAATCTTGTTCCTCCTGCTTCAGCCTCTTCGCAGGTGCTGGGATTACAGGCGTGCCCCATCATGCCTAGCTAAGAACACTGTTTTTAATTGTATTATGAAGTGAAAGGGAGATTGCAAAGGAATAAAATAGCATGGTCAAGGACTGGTGAGCAGTACTTAGAACTTTTCTAAGGGAGAAAGACCTCAACGCTGTCTTGACAGGGAAGTGGCACCTATTTTCATGGGTGGGATCTTTAGCCCTTGCTAAAACATCAATTGGCTATAACCCAGGGGCTCTTATTACTGTCAGGGTATTTTATATGCACATTTTAAAATGAGTTCTTCAAAATATATATGTCTTAATGCCTAGAAAGTGATATAAACTTGGGCTGGATTAAGAGCCTTGTTTTTAACAGAATGTTCTGGGCATCTGGGGAGAAAAGGATGGAGATTAGCATCTTGGAGAGATGGCTTTGCCAGGATGGTCCTGACTTGGAATGATGTACTCCTGTGTGTTCAGAGGCTGGGCTCCTGCTTATTGGCTCTGTGTTTCCTGGGGGCGGGGCCACAGCTGGATTGGCACAGCAGCCCTGGGGATCCTGTGCATTTCTGCCTTTGTTTGAAAGCCTCAGCTGCTGCCTTGGAAGTGGACATCTTCATCTCACTGACACTTCATGTTTTTTTAAATTTTACATGACTGGCTTCTAAGCTATGTTCCCCTCACCCCCAAATAGCTATAGTCCCAATTCTGGAATCTCACCTTGCCAATCAATGTAAAGACTTGATCTGAGAAGGTCTCCTCCCTCTCCCTCCCCCCGAAAGGATCCTGTGCATCAGTGAGTACCTCAGTCTACCAGCACGAAGTCTTTTCCTCGATCACTAAGCTATCACGTGGCCTGGAAAGTACTGGTGGCCACAGCATGGCACGTAGATCAGCGATAGCAATGCTGTGTGTGTATGAGACTCCTCAACATGCCTTAGGAGACCTGTAGGAGACTCTTAGAAGGGGCCCTGGAGCTGGCTGACCCCTCCCCCCCCAGATGACTCATTTTCCATCTTTGTGGCCTGCTGAACTCACTCAGAGTGGGATCTGCACAGGGTAGAGAGGGCCAATTTTGGTTGGCTCGAAGTCATGTCACTTTTAACAAATAGATGATATCTGGCAAGGCAGATACACACACAAATAGCAGAGTCCCTTTAAGTCTAGACTTGGTATCGGTGCCTATCTTAGCAAATTTCCAGAGATCCATGCTCATAATCAGATCAGTATTCTCTTCCTGAAGTTTCCTAGTGATCTTTCCTAAATGCTTGACTACGTCATCACATGATGATCTCCCCACTTCAGAGAAAATTATTCCAGTACAAACCGAAATGGACACCAAGTTCATACAGAATGGCTGACAGGGTTAGGAAACTCACAAGTGGAGTAGACTGGGTGGAACATGACAGGACAGCGAGCGTTCATGTTGTGCTTTTGGAGTGTAGGGATGGAACAGAGGGCCAAGGGCCTGGAGTAAGGGAAGGCCTGTGACTAGGGCCCTGCATAGTTCACCATGTCAGTGCTCTGCCTTTACTGAGAATACATCATAGAGCAACAGAGCTGTGCTCAATTTATGCCTGGGATTGGGCAGCTCTATTCTATTAATGATGCTTGAAAAATTAGTTGTTTGAGGGAGAAAAAACAATGTGTGTTTTTTACCTCATGTCAAACCCTAAAATCACTCACAATCCTTAAAATAGATTTCTGGACAGATTTGTATTGTGGACTTACCTATTATTTAAAAAAAATTAATTAAATGAATAAATAAAGTTTTAAAATTCACAGGGCGAGCACTGTATAGTGGTGTACTCCTATAATCCCAGCTACTCAGGGGGCAGACAGGGGGACTGAGAATTCAAGGCCAGATTTGGTGACTCAATGAGATGTTGTCTCAAAAAAAAACTCTTTTTAAAAGCGGGGTTGTAACACTGGTAAAGCATTTTCAAGCACGCTTGGGTTAATTCTATTCTAGTGCTGAAAAAAAAAGTTAAATCACAGGAAAAAGTGAAATGAATATATGCAATGCATACAACAATTAAATATTTAAATGAAATGTCCTATATTCCTCACTCAAACTCATTATTTTTGAAAATAAACAACAAGGAAAATGCTTGCAGACTAACTGAGCATGGGTGATAATTTTATAAAAAGGACAAAAATTAAAAAGGTAAAAATAACAGCAGCAAAGAGAAATGGTGTCATTGTGAAATTATTCCTAAGATTCAATACAGAGGACCAAAAATCATACAGGAGGCTGGGTGCTGGGTGCTCATACCTGTAATCCTAGCTACTCAGGAGGCTGAGATCTGAGGATCACAGTTCAAAGCCAGCCCAGGCAGGAAAAGTCTGTGAGACTCTTATCTCCAATAAACCACCAGAAAACTGGAAGTGGCGCTGTGGCTCAAGTGTTAGAGTGCTAACCTTGAGCTAAAGAGCTGAGGGACAGCGCCCAGGCCCAGAGTTCAAGCCTCATGACCAACCAAAAAAAAAAAAATCATACAGGAAATATTCACTGAAAGATAAGGGTTGGGTATGTAACTCAGTGGTAGAGTCCTTGCCTAGAAACTGCTAGCAAGGGTACACTTTTTTTTTCCTATGAAAATCAGTGAACACTAAGATAACTTACACAAATTGTCATACTTCCCTGGGGAGGCTGTTGCTTTATAAACTTCAGATGGTGGCTATGTGCACCAGTATGTTCCTTTTGACAGATAAGTTGATATTACGAATAAAAGCCTTAAACGCTAGCTGTGCAATTCCTCATTTGGCATATTCTTCCTGAGGAAATATAGTCTAAATATAGCTGAAGATAGCTGCTCAAAGATATTCTTAAGACTACTATTTATAGTTTTATAAAAATGGAAATTACCTAAATCTAGAGCACGGAGGAATCCCTCTGCATAAACTATACATTTCATGGGTATGTATTTGATAGAAAATTGGGAAGGATTTAACACTGTGTTGACACATAATTGGTGACAACTTTGCAAATATTTATGTGATGTTGACAGCATGATGTATGCATTTAATCAGATTCTCTGGAAAGAAAGCCACACACACACACACACACACACACACACACACACACACAGAGGAAACAAGGTTCTGAAATGGCCAATCTTCAAATATTGGATTTATTAGATTATTTGTTGTTCTTGTTTATATAATTCTGGCTAAAATTGTGGTTGATCATACAGAGGAAGTGGAGCTGGAGGTAAAAGTGAGCAGCTTTTACATAAAGAGAATCAGTACATGCATGAACAAGACTGCTAAAAAAAAAAAAGGAATCCAGGGACAAACTCAGAAAGAAACATGAAATGGAGTCTGGAAATGGAATGGTGCATGTTTCTAAAGGAGTAGGAGAGTAGCAAGCCTGTCTGTTGTGGAGTAGAAGGAGATAAGGCAGACAAGATGTCCTGAGGCTGGGTGTGGGCAGTCCCAGGAAGAGGAAGTGAGTCACACACTGTGCGGGCGGAAGGGGAGGGCCACAGGAAGTGGGTGTTTAGAGCCAGAAGCCCTTTGTGTTTTTAATTGGCTGATCTGCCAGCAGTTCATTAGAAGTTAGGAGGTAAGAAGCTGGGGGAGATTGGAGTTGATGTTGTGATCAGTTGAAATGGACAGGAAGGAAACAGATTCCATGGTGCCTGAATGCCAGAAAGACAAAGCAGAAGGCAACACAACAAACCCTAAATTCAATACTCGGGCAGCATGCCAAGTGTGCAGGAGTGATGGCAGAAACGGTAGGTGCTGGTTGGAGCGTTACCACTGCCTTTCAGCAGACTGGAAAATGTACAGCCAGGGGTGGTGGTACACCCCTGTAATCCCAGTACTTGAGCGACCGGGTCACTAACATGGCAAGTTCAAGGCTGTGGAGATGCTGTTTTGAAAAACAAAAATGAACAGAGGCTTCTCTGAACTTCTTAATGCTTTTCCCATGAGTGGGTCAAAGCATCTCCGTGCACCCCAGTGCTGTCTCCAGGGCTCCTGTCTTACTCTCTGCCTCGATGAGCCCTTGAACTGTGTCAGAGGGCCTATGTGGAATGTCTTCGAGCCTGTGCTTTGTGATCCTCTGGGTGGGCTGAGGGATTGAGTGGTAAGGACGATTTTCCTCAGTAAAGTTTTGTACTGAGTCTCCTTAGTCTACAAAGGTTAAGAGGGAGCTAACAACCAAACAAAGAAAATAAAGGTATTCATCATTATTTTGTTTTCTCTGCCAAACACTTTATTGTAGAGTTCTCCTAGGGATCATTCACAGCTGAGCATTTATCTCTAGAATGGGACCTTCATTCTTTTAGAATCAGACTGAAACACTCTCCTCTCTATATACTTCTGTAAAGATCACGAAGCAGGCCAAAGCAAAAGCAAGCAGATACAGGGATGGCCTCTGTATCCACCACTTGGGAGAGTCCTGCTGTCAATCAGGGAAAAGTCCAGGCCAGCTCCTGTCTGCCTGTGTAACACCCTGGTCTTGTTTCCCTTAGGTGCCTATCCTCGGCTCTCCCTGAGTTTTCGGTTGAAGAGGAACATTGGCTACTTCATCCTCCAGACTTACATGCCTTCCATACTGATTACCATTCTCTCCTGGGTGTCCTTCTGGATCAACTACGACGCCTCAGCCGCCAGAGTCGCCCTGGGTACGTGCTTGCTGCTCAGTGATTTCTAAGATGGAAAGTGACCGTGTCATTACAGCACTAAGGGAACTGAAAAGCAAATAGTTCAACTCCAGTTTCTGGACATCATGACACCAGCCCTTGCCTACAGAGTTCCTTTTCTGTCTCAGGATGCTAATTTCATGCACGACTCCCTTGATGTGTTAATTTAATTATAAGGCTCCGATGTGAATTTTCATGCCCATGAAAGGGAGGGAAAAAAATTTATGCTTGGAGACTATTTGCCTAGTAAAACTATTTTTGACACTCATTTTGAAAACAAGGAATAACATCCTCCTGCCCAAAATTATTCCATAGCCCAGAAAGAATTATTCATTGTGCGTTCTCCTTTTTAAAAAAAAAAAGCTAGAAAAAATTAGTCAAATATTACAGCCTATAATTGGAATTATACAATTTGTTGAGCATTAACATATGCAATTAATTCTAAGCCATTCCCTAGGGGTCTTAGTGATCCTGCTGACCATTGACAATTATTAGATTACTAACTGGTGTACAATATATCTTATAGGTTCTGATATTGCTTCTAATATGTTAGTATTCGAAGAAGGCTCATAATCTCCAAAACATTCTCGGCTATTATGAAATTTCATTGACCAAATAATTAATTGAACATATTTTTGTAAAAGTACTGAGCCTGATGAGCTATTATCAGGACCTTCTCTGTTTGGCTAGGGTTAAATTTAATTCCTGACAGTGAAATTATCAGTGGAACTTATATAAACTGATGGAAAGAAATGATCAGCACACATCCTGGTAGGTTAGGCTGCACGAAGTCAGAACTTCCCGTGCCAGTCACCCCCTTCCTGCCCTCCTTTCTTGTGTACCCAACTTTCCCTAGACTGAAGGCTGATTTCCATTGCAATGGTAAGAGAAATTTCTATGTGAATGCATGGGTTGGATCCACAATTCTGGAACTTTAACATCTACGTTCAAGATTTGGTTATTTCCCAGCTATAACACATAACTGTTGCTTGAGGGAAAAAAATTCAGGCAGCTATTCCTAAAGATGAATTTTAAAAAAGATGAATTTTAAAGATGAAATTTTAAAAAAGACTTGTTTGTCTTTCTAATGAATTCAAAAAGCAAAATTCTCTCTCCCTCTCCATCTCCTTATTCTATCTTGTGTGCCAGTCCTAGGGCTTGGACTCAGGGTCTGAACACTGTCTGTGAGCTTTTATGCTCAAGGCTAATGCTCTACTACTTGGACTACAGCTCCACTTCCAGTTTTGGGGTGTTTAATTGACGACAAGAGTCTCATGAACTTTCTTGCCTGGGCTGGCTTCGAAACATGATCCTCATATCTCAGCCTACTGAGTAGCTAGGACTACAGGCATGAGCCACTGGTGCCTGGCCAAAAATTCTCTTCTAAAACATATCAAGATGTCAAACCATTATCCCCTCTCCTATTACCCACGCTTGGCGGCTTCTGTTTCTGATAGAACTGGCTTTCTCTTTCTTACACTCTTTTCTTTTGATTGTGTAGACACAGATCCAGATATTGTAGAGCTTATTAGCTTACAAAGCTGCAAGTGCTGTCTTTCAGATAAGTAGTATGAAAATAGGAAATCACTGGGGACATGCTGGAGCCTGGAGAAAGCCTTCATAGCCCAGAGAGCTGTAGCCAAAACTTCAAGAGCTTCTGAACGTGGAAAATGTGTCCTTGTGGTCCTCAGTACAGAAGCATTGTGCACCCCAGGGCTGGAATGATCTGGCATCACAAAGAGTGTTTTCCAACTATCACAAATTCTGTGCCTCCTCCATTGAAAACTTCCTCTTTCACGATGCAAAGGGCGTTCAAGCAAACCCAATCTCACTATATATATATATATATATATATATATAGTATATGTTATATATTATATGTTATCTATAATATATGTATATATAGTTTATTATATATTGTATATAGAATATAATATATGTTCTATAGGATACTATAAGATAGAATATATACTGTTATTATATATTAATATATAGAATATATTACATGATAATATATTATAAATATTAATATAATATTAATATGTTACAAATTCTATTATGTATAGAATACATAATTATACATAACATCCAATAAGAGTATATTATATATACAATTATACTACATATACTATTATTATATATTATATACTAATATATATTATACACATAAAGGTCTTATCCCCACAGCATTATTATTATTGTTTATCTCAGGCTCACATCTCAGAGGCTTTGTTAGCTCAAGCTTTCCCCTGGAAGGCTGTTGGGTTCAGAGACCTGGGAAGCAGGTGTGAGGTCACAAGGGAGGCACTATATACAAGTCCCAGGTAAAGGAACTTTCTAGCAGACAGCCCTGGGGTCTGCCTCTCGGGAAGTCCCCTAGTCTCTGCTGTCAGAGTCCCAGCAGGATGCTTATGCCCTCTGGTCAATATGAGATCTATCTCTGAGTCCGAGTTAGCGGGGTATTGGGAAATCTCTCTGGTATTAACTCATTGATCAAGTAGAAATATTTATAAGGTCATGAATGTATTCATAAGGTGCTGAATATGGAAAGTATGGAAACCGGAACCCTCAAGATGAGGCTGAAACTTTTCCAGTCCTTAGGAGCCCCAGTCCTTGGCTTGGGCCAGGGATGTGACTATACATTCTGCAGAAGACCACTGTGCAAAGACAGGGAAATGAGGCAGAATACCCTGGGTAAGCTACTTGATGCCAGAAGAATGATTTCAGCACAGGTAGTCTCTATCCGGGGCCTTCCCCGTTACCTCATCCAAATACAGTCAATCTTCCCAGTGTCCCTTGCTGCAGCTTGGGCTGTCTGTGGCCTATTGGGGTCCAGAAGTGTTTAATGGAAAACTCCAGAAACACACAATTCATGCTGTAAATAATCTTTCTTACAAACTGTTATTCTAACTGTTCTGGTTTAGTTATTGATGATAATCTCTCAATGTAGGTAGTCTAGAAATTAAATATGATCACAGGTATCTGTGTACAGGGGGAAAAAACAACAAGCAGAATTTAGTGTTATCCATGACTACAGGCATTTGCTATGGGTTTCGGATATAGTTCTGTGGATGCTGGTGACTCCTTCCTAAATTGTCAATATATACTGCATGGAAATTATTCAGTCTACTTGCATTGTAAGAATCAAACATGTATTTAAAAAGAGAAAGAGAAAAAAGCAAACATTGTTATTGTTAACATCATAAACGTCAGCACACTGAGGAGCCTCGAGTTGAGGGAGGAGAGTAGACTGGTTGCTGGGTTTCCACTGTGCTCATCTGCTCAAGAGGTATCAGAATGTTACACCTCTCCTGCTCAGGGGCCACTGAGCTATCAGAGATGCCAGCCACCCAACCGCAAAGTGGGACACTGAATTTTGTGGTCATCTTCAAAACCATCCCTACAAAATAATGGTAATGATAATGATAATAACAACATCATATATAATAATATCATAACTTGAGGGGTCAGCTGGGGCTGGGAGAGATGGAGAAAGATGATGGAAAGGGGTGACACTGATCAAGATGCATTGTCCTCACAAACTGAGGACAATGTACAGCTCCTTAAAGATCATTCTTTAAAAAACACTATAGAGTGAAAGCATATACGGCTATCATCTAAACTACATTATTTGGATCGATCAGAAGGAAAAGGAAGATTTTTTTTTTACTTCATGATCATCTTTCTATCTGCAGATTTTTGAAAAAGAAATTATTTCATTACCATAATCTCCATGAAAAAAAATAAGTGAAAGCTTATAATTAGTCAGAAATTATAGCAGTCTGGTAAGAATACAGGAACATAACAGGCACAACCACCCAGCTACCTCTTATATCCCAGTGAGAAGTCCACTTAGAAGTTCAAGGTTAAGGACAGAGAATCTAATGGCTTCAATTCAAGGCCTGGTTGCTGTCCCTAAGCTCTTCGGCTCGAGGCTGGCACTTTATGACTTTGAGCCACAGCTTCACTTCCAGTTTTCTGGTGATTTATTGGAGAGATTCTTATCTCATGGACTTTCCTGCCTAAGCTAACTTGGAACCGTGATCCTCAGATCTCAGCCTCTTGAGTAGTTAGGATGACAGGCGTGAGCCGCCAGCACTGGCAACTGCTCTCTATTTATTAGCACATCACTGATGGCTTTAGATGTAATCTTTAGACTTCTCAAGGTAGTAGATAAAGGCCGCAATGGGCTGTGGGTCTGAACCATGTGACTCCACCATGGGAGCTGTGTGCTTCCAAAAGGGTCCCGGAGAGGAAGAATACACAAATGCATGTGAGCTAAGAGCTCATATCCATCGACCCAATCGGAAAGACTAGAGTCCTATAGGAGACCATTTTTTCCCTTGCTATGACGCTATACCAAGGCTGGGTGCGGTATAAAGAAAAGAAGGTGATGTACCTCACAGTTCTGTAAAGGTTAAGAGCATGGCACCAACAGCTGCTTGGCTCTGATGGAAATCCATGGTAGAAGGCAATGTGTACATGTGTGAGAGACAGAGACTGTTAATCAGACCAAACAGAGATCCCAACCATGATCTAGGTCACTCACACCACATGAAGAACAGGTGACATCCTCATCCTCACGTTTTCAGCTCAATTCCTGGGGATGTCCACGGAGGCCTGTTATACCCAGGCCCATTCAAGTCAACCAGCTTGGAGAGGTGAAGAAATGAGCAGAGCAAAAGCAAAGCATTTGGGCTCCACAAATCCACTTGGAAAGGAGAAAGATAGTAGTGGCAGCAACTTTGCAAAAAAAAAAAAAAAGGTTTGAATAATGGCAAGAATGCCTAATTTGGTAGCATTTGCATGGTGTTTTCCCATTTATTTGTAAACTGTAATTATCCCATTGCCATGTTCAAATTTTAAAAAGTCCCCAGGTGCACATGAATGTGATGTTAAAGGAGACGCTTAAAATACTCCAGCATCTTAGATTTCCATCCACTCTATAAGCAATCGTGGTTTGCAGCTAGACATAAAAATAGGTTCTCTGGCTCTTCTGGTGCTTGGCTGTTAGTAGCAGTTCAGAGCTCGGGGGAGGAAGAGAGCGTGTGTTGGAGAAGAAACCTTGACTCCCTTCCCTCCCTCCCTCCTTTGCCTGCTCATCCCAGGCCAGCTGAGCCCTAGAGTCTTGAAATCCTCCCTGGAGGACACAGTGTCAGGAAGCGTGCGTCTGAGGGTGGGTAGAGGTCAAGAGAAGTGTAAACTGAGATGTTTAACGAACATTGAGCAAGGAGGGCATGAATAAAGTAGCCTGACTGTCCTCCAGAACTTCCTTGGGAGTGCTGGCCTGTTGAGGTGGCATTGCTTCTTGGAGTCCATTTCACATTCGTTTCTTGAAATGGCAGTTCAGGGGGCTGGGAAGGTGGCTTAGTGGTAGAGCGCTTGCCTTGCATGCATGAGGCCCTGGGTTTGATTCCTCAGCACCACATAAACAGAAAAAGCCAGAAGGGGTTCTGTGGCTCAAGTGGTAGAGTGCTAGCCTTGAGCTGAAGGACAGCGCCTAGGCCCAGAGTTCAAGCCCCACAACAGCAAGCAAGCAAGCAAGCGAAGGAAGGAAGGAAGGAAGGAAGGAAGGAAGGAAGGAAGGAAGGAAGGAAGGGCAGTTTAGAAAGCTCTTCTGCCTTTTCCCTAATTCAGGGACAGCTGAGGATGAGTAGGAAAAGGGCTGGCATGCTTCTTGGATGTGTGTGTGTGTGTGTGTGAGAGACAGAGAGAGAGAGAGAGAGAGAGAGAGTAGTCCTAGGCTTGAGCTCAGGACCTGGGCTCTATCCTTGCACTTTTTTTCCTTTTGCTCAAGGCTAGCACTCTCCCAGTTTGAGCCATAGCTCTACTTCTGCCCATTTTTTGCTGGTTAGTTGGAATAAAAGTATCTCATAGACTTTCCTGCCTGGGATTGGCTTCAGACTGTGATCCTCAGACCTCAGTCTCCTGAGTCAACTGGGTTGGACTGCAAGCTTAGAGTCTCCAAGGCAATACATGAGCTGTTGCGTTTCCTCTCCCACTAAGAACTAAGAGACCCACATGTATTCTGTAGGCATAGCTTCGCACATTCCAACAAACCAAGTGACCCTTGATCGCCATGGCCTCAAATTACCCAGTGCAGAATCTTTGTATGGAAAGAAATTGTGGGACAAATGGGGTGTGTGTGTGTGGAGGCGGGGGGTCCTTGTGTGGTTTTAAGGACTCAACTGAGCTTTACTTGGGAGGTAGTGAGGTTATTCTCATAGTATTATATAAGAAATTCAACAAAATGACAAAAACAAATGATCTGCTCACTGGCCCCAGAATCCAGTGCAGTTCAATCCAAGGGAAAGCATTGCTTCACCACAGATATTTCCTGACTGCCTTCCTCACTGAGGAGAGAAAAACAAAAATCTCTCTGCAAGGTGATCTTCCCTCAGGAGTACTGCTCCCCCTTTAGCTCAGACCCAGACATCCTGTCCCCCTATACCATTTAAAACACCATGGCTGCCATCCATGAGCTTCTACTCTGCCTGGTAGAAGAAATGACTTTTCTTCTGTCTTCTTCTGATGAGGGCCAGGGATATCTCAAGGATCTTTTTCCTTCATGGCTCCACTTCTCCAGCTTTTTGTACATAGGCTCTCCAAGAACCACTGGAGTCACAATGACAGACGTGAAAATGCATAATTGTCTCAGCAAGGCAAAATTTCCTCCTGCATGGAAGGGTGTGACCTCAGCCAAAAATCGGGCCAGCAAGCCAGGCTGCTCCAATATGTATCCCTACTTCAGCAGGCCCCGGCCCCCCTCTGCTCCAATTGGTTGAGCTCAGGCTCCCCACTTGCTCATGATTGGCTAGTTTGAAGAAGGTAAAGGTGTATTTACATAAAGTCGTTTTGAAATAAGATTAACATTACACAAATAATTTCAACATGCACCCCACAACCCTCTGCTATTTCTTGAACAGTCTGAGGCTTGTAGTAATTCCATCTTGAAAAGTAATCAGTTTAAGACAAGAACTTTACGTTTCAAAAGATGCTCTCTTATCCTAAAAGCAGTTTCTTTTCTCCTTAAGAAGAGCTAAGCCACCAGGCCAAAGTAAGAACTTTTCAATAACACATTGTGATAGGAAAGACAGTTTTTTTTCTCATATGCTTTAGACCACCTCAAATCTGCAGCTTTGCATCCAGATAACTTAGCACTTCGCATTAAATTCTGGGCTTCTTTAGATTCCTTTCCCAGTGATGGGGTTTGAACTCAGAGCCTGGGCACTGTGCCTGATCTCTTTATGCTCAAGGGTAGCACTCTAACACTTTGAGCCATAGCCTCACGTCCTGTTTTCTGGTGGCTCACTGGACTTTTCTTGCCCCAAGGCTGGCTTTGAACCACGAACCTCAGATCTCAGCTTCCTGAGTAGTTAGGATGATAGGTGTGAGCCACCAGCACCTGGCTAGATGTCTTTCATAGTTACAAGGAGTATGAACTGTCTAGCTGCCTTGTGTGTGTTTCTCTCCCACCCAGTCTCTAAACTCCATTTCCTCTGCTGGTAGAAAGACGATGTGGAGGAAGCTTGAGGCGCTGTGCTCTCATGGGCTCAGTTGCTCAGAGAACTGTTGCATCTTAGTGCTTGAAGCCGGATACAGCAGGAGGGTGAAGAATGAAAAGACAGACAGTGGAGTTGCCAGGCTCAACCACTCCCCTTTTCTCTCCTAGGGATCACCACCGTGTTGACCATGACAACCATCAACACCCACCTTCGAGAGACTCTGCCCAAAATCCCCTACGTCAAAGCCATCGACATGTACCTGATGGGCTGCTTCGTCTTCGTGTTCCTGGCCCTCCTGGAGTATGCCTTTGTCAACTACATCTTCTTTGGAAGAGGCCCTCAGAGGCAGAAGAAACTGGCAGAGAAGACGGCCAAGGCGAAGAACGACCGTTCTAAGAGCGAAGGCAATCGGGTAAGGCCCTCCATGGCCTGGACCCCACTCTGCTTCTGCCAAGTATCAGTCACCTTGTCACCTGCGTGGCCTGTCAACTGACGGGCGTTTGTTGGGAGAGAGTTGGGGGTTGGGGTGGGGGATTGCTGATGATAATCTAAATGATGATATTCTAAAATATTCCTCTGCAAAGCTAAAGCTGAGAGGCTTCCTTCGAGCCTAAAATGAATGGGGTGTGTGATTTCAGAGCTAATAAATCCATAGGTTTCCTTATGTCTGAACATGACAGACATAAGGAAGCCTATGAATTCATTAGCTCCGGGATTTGAACCCAAGGTCTTGTATTTGCGAGGCAAACATTTTTAGTTGAGTCCCATTTCTAGCCCTTTTGACATTTTATTCTTGGGATAAAAATCTCCCTACCTTCCCCCATGGAACCTGTTGGCCTTCCAGTCCTCTGCCTTCATAGTAGCTGGGATTATGGGAGTTGCATCTTCATACCTGGCAATAGGGAAGACTTTTGTTCCCAAATGAATGAATAATCCTTTAGTTGTAGAGTTGCCCGTTTCGATCACTTAAGCCTGCTGTCATTCTAAGCAAGGAAGAGCAGGCACACACGTCACCCGGTCTGCCTTGCTGCTTGCTGGCTGCTAGCCATCGCCCTGTGGGCAAAATCCAAAGTGGGAAGATATGAGCAAGCTGGGTAGTCAGGAGAACTGATCTGACGGCCCTGAGGCGGGCCCTCATCTCTCCTGTGTGTGCTCTAGACATTCACAGGTGGTACGTGTGCCTTTTGGGTTTGGTTTTGTAATTTAGTTTGTTATTATTATGCTGATGTTCAAATAGGTACAGTGGAGTTTCGATTCAACAAGCCAATCTGGGAGTACCGTGTGCCTTGATCAGTGTTGTCACCCTTATCCTTCTTCCTCTCCCCTAACCCCACCCATCCCCTGTATTTTCCTGGCTCCATTTTCACATAGGGACCTTGATTATTATGACTATGATCGTCCACCCTTATCCTCTCCATTTATCTACTCCTCTGCCCTTGAACTCAGCCCCCTTCAGATTCCAGTTTCATTTTGTTAAGAGAGTTGTTGAAAGGAGTTGATATCTTCCGAATCCTGTATAAACCATACCATCACCCCCAAACTAGAAAGGGTGCTGTGGCTCAAGTAGGAGAGCACTAGCCTTGAGCAAAAGAAAAAGCACAGGGACAGCACCCAGGCCCTGGGTTCAGGCTCCAGGACCAGCATACCCCCCCCCAAAAAAGAAAAAAAGTTCTTGTTAAATCTACTTACTTCCAATCCCGAGGAGAGCTGTCTTTGCTGTTACCCATGCCGTTCCTGCCATGCGTCTTCCCTGAACAGGGAAACCATATCTCCTTGGACAACCCCTGTGTCCAAGGCAACCGAGTCTTCAGCACCCACAAATGGATGCAGGCAGACATGTTTAAATGAATGTGTACATGGCGCCCTTCTATTCAGCAAAGTGTGACTCAAACTGGTCAGAAAAATCAGAACTCTGCGAATAAAACCAGGCTTTCCACAAGCAAAATAATCTTAAATTTTCATACTTGGGGAATAGACTCGGGGCCATCCTGTTACATTTCTAAGGAGGCCTGTGTCCTGCTATAAATACACAATATGCCTTGGCCCGGTTGTTTCCATGGAAACTGGAATTCATCACATCATTACTGTTTCCATGACAGAGGCACTCAAACACACGCGCGCGTGTGTGCACACACACACACACACACACGGACTACTGTGTCTTTCCAGACTTATTTCTTCTGTATTTAACCAAATCATAAATTTTATTTCTTTTCTTCTAAATGAGACTCTTGAGAGGAAATTGTTGGGATACAGAAATACCTTTCTGAGTGAGACACATACAATTTAAAACAAAACTGAGAAAAATCCTGGTATCATACACTAAGACAATTAGCAGGATGCACAGAGAATATGTTATAAATTGGATCCGGAGTAGATTTTTTTAAACTTGATTCAGGAGTCCATTTTTATTGTTTCTTTATCCAAAAACTTTGCTTCTCACTTTATCTAGCAGGTCTAATGAAGCTTTCACATGTTCACATTGTTCAAATGCTATAGAACTATGGATCAGTGATTTATATCAGAAAATAACCCAAAAATGCATGTATTCAGATTAAGAAAAATAAACATCAAAAAAGTGTTCCTCATTTAAGAATTTAGGATTTGTTTATTTGGTGCTAGCACTGTGGCTTGAACTCAGATCTTCCTGTTGTCCTTTAGGTTTTTATTGTTGTTTTTGTTTAAAGCTAATGCTTTACTACTTGCACCATACTTTTCATTTCTGGATTTCTGCTGATTAATTGGAGATAAAGAGTCTCATGGACTTTGGACCATAACCCTCAGATCTCAGCCTCTTGAATAGCTAGGATTACAGGTTTGGACTTCTAGTGCCCAGTTTAGGAACAATTTTTAAATAGAACTTAACCTCCCAAAGAGTTTACATCAAGTAACAGAAATACAAGAGAAGAGAAAAAAATCACAAATTTTATACCAAACAGAATGGCACTGTATACAAACACAACAAATTTAACAGTCCTTAACAAATAATATTTACTTGTTAATTTTAGTGATAACATTTTGTGTGTGTGTGTGTGTGCACGCACACACACTCACACACGCACGCCAACCTGGGACTTGAATTCAGAGAATGGTTGTTGTCCATGAGCTTTTTATCTCAAGACTAGAACCCCACCCATTGAAACACAGCTTCACTTCTGGCTTTTTGATGGTTAATTGGACACAAGAGTCTCACAAACTTTCCAACCTGGGCTGGTTTCAAACTGCAATCCTCAGATCTCAGCCTCCTGAGTAAGTAGGATTACAGGTGTGAACCATGAATATGTCTACTTAGTAAAGAACAAGATTCCACCCCTGGCATGATAAATCCTTTCATTTTCTTCTGAAGGTAGAATTTTACTTAAGTAGAAGCTGGAAGGTCAGTAAAGAATGAAATATCCACTCTGTGCCAGTCTGGTGATATATTGTAGGATAAAGGCCAAATCCCTCTGCAGTATATTGTAGATGGAGTGGTTTTAGTTTTTGAGGGATGGCACCTGTCAAGGCTATAGAGTTGGAAGAAAAACTACATCAAAATCAGTAATTCTAATTATAGTAGATATGAGATAGGCCCTTCAAAATAATGAGTATTCATGAAATCATTTAAAAATCGCAAGTCATCTGTCAGTCTATAAAGGGCATTTCGGCTTTCTATTTCATCCACAAGCACTTATTTATATTTTAAGACTTACATTCTAAACAGTAAAAAAACTCAAAGTTCCCATCTCTTTTGGAAATATTTATTTAAAATATTTTGTTACTAAGATTTAACCGATTTAATAACCTTTCATCCTCCCAGAAGAAAAAAAAAATCTCTTAGTAATTTTGAGGTGAATTTTCTACATAGTGGTTCATATTTTATAAATGAAATCCATGTCAAAGTAAAATTATAAGTCAAGCCATCCAACTAGCAGGGCACCAGTGTAGCTCATGCCTAGAATCTTAACTCCTTAGGAGCCTGAGACATGGAAGATCAAAGTTTGAAGCCAGTTAGAGCAGCAAAGTCCATGAGACTCTGTTTCCAAAAGCAGCAAAAAGCTAGCCTGTAGAGGCTTTGTTCTAGTGGTAAGAATACCACCTGTGAGCAAGAAAGCTGAGCGAGTACAAGATCCTGAGTTTTGGGGGTCAAACTATTTTACACTAAGATCTTTTTTTTCATTTATTTGTTTTTGTTGTTCATGGGGCTTGAATTCAGGGCATGGGTTCTGTCCGTGAGCATTTTCCACTCCAGGCTAGTGCTCTACCACTTTGGGCCACCATACCACTTCCGGTTTTCTGTTGGTTGATTGAAGATGAGTCTCATGGACTTTCCTTCTAAGGCTGGCTTCGAACCATGATCCTCAGATCTCAGCCTCCTGAGTAGCTAGGATTACAAGTGTGAGTCCAACTTACACTAAGATCTTAATGCAACATGCATGCACTTGAGTTCCTTCGCACACTAGAAACTAGTATTATCTGAATACTTACTTCCGTGAAAAGTGTTCACCCACTCTGAAATGGAGTATGTCAAACTGCATTGGTTCTTCAGCCTGCCTTCAGACACCCTGTGACCTGACACAGCTCTCAGGGAATCATAAATGTCCACAGCACCCAAAAGCCCTGTACCTTTTGCATACTGTGGGTGGCATTCGTTCAAAAACAGCTTTTGACCTCCCTCCAGCTATGCTTCATTCACTGGAGTTCAGAGACACTCACCGAGATTCCCACTTTCATGAGGTTCATCTCCCAAACTGATCATGGTGGCTACGAGGTATTTGGGAAAACAGAAAATCCATTCACACCAAGTTGTTACTCAGGCTTGAAAACTCCACGTTCAATTGGCCTCATTTCTTGGGTCTCCTCCACTCCCTCGGCCGCATTCCCCAAATCACCCTATGTGATTGGTTTTTCCCTCTGCCTTCCCATTCTCCTATCTCCTTTACCTAGATGTCACCTCTTTTGGGGTCCATGTGTTCTCCTTCAAGACTAAGGCAGATGCCCTTCCAGGGCCTTTTCCTTCCGCTTCTTCCTCCCCCTTGTCTACATCTTGCATTTGATCACTCCCTGCTTCCAAGAGTTGACAGAAAAGGGACCTTCTCTGAGCTTGAGAGTTGGCAGATGGCTCACACTCCATGTGCATCCATCAATCTTAGCCACCAGCTAGCATCCACTTTCTTGTTCTGCTGAGATCTTTGTACAAAAGCCCGAGTGGATCCTAGATGCCGGCAGTTCTGCCTGAGTGCCCGCCATGCTGGAGTTTGGAGCCATCTTATCTGGGGTCCTTGCCCCTGCTCAGTTCCACGTGGGCCTCTTCCTTTTCCCAGTAATGTGTCAAGATCCCTGTCTGTCCACTTTGCTAGATCCTCTTCTAGATGAATGCCTTTTACGACCTCAGAGGGCATTCCAAAGTTGGGAAGATTCAAATTGCTATGTGGATAAAGTATTCCTTCACAAAATGACTAGGAGGTCTTGGAGAAAGCCATAGACCTGTAGCTTACTGCAATAGAAAGGACAGGCTTGCAGAGACAGAGAGAGGCAGAGACACAGCCTTCAGACACAGTTGTAGAAGGCAGAAGGGAGTACATAGAACGTGCTAGAAGGAACGCCCAATGGATGGTAAAATGGGCCCCGGGGCCATGGCTGCTCCTAGAAAACAGCTACAGTCTCATCCTAGAGAAAGATGCTACCCGGAACCCCCAGATCCAGGGGGTTCTGTGGATAATTCCATGGAAATGGACTGTCCACAGACCATTTATGATTTGAAGCTGTGTAAAGCACAGCACAAAATGTTAGCATTTTTGCTGGGTGCCCTGGCTCACAGCTGTAATCCTAGCTATTCAGGAGGCTGAGATCTGAGGTTTGTAGTTCGAAGCTAACCCAGGCAGGAAAGTCCATGAGACTCTTATCTCCAGTGAACTACTCCAGAAAAAGCCAGAATTGGCACTGTGGCTCAAGTGGTATAGTGCTCTCCTTGAACACAAAGAGGCTCAGGGACAGCATCTAGGCCCTGAGTTCAAGCCCCAAGAGCAGCAGAAAAAAATTATAAAGTTTGACATATCCTTTTATAAAGTTGACTCTGGTTATTTTAAATACAGCTTTTATAAAAAAAAAAAAAAAAAAAAAAAAAAAAAAAAAAGAAGCTTCCTGCCAGTTCCAGGATTGGAAGAGGAGACACTACTTGAGTGTGTGTGCAGTTGGGGAGTGGGGGTGGAGGGGTCTTTAGTCTATTAAAATCATCAGCAATGTCCTCTGATCACAGAACCATTCATTGTCTTCTCCATCGTGATTTGATAAGTATTTCAGCACCAGAAAAGAGACAAGCCAACTAAGGTGTTGTCCCTGACAGTATAGAATAACCACATCTTATTGTAGAAGGTCCCTAGTACACCCTGAAACCATGATTAGTACTGAAGGCTAGACTAAATGTGCTTTCCAAACACACACACACACACACACACACACACACACACACAGCTGAAGCTGTAAGAGATTAATGAGAAGAAATCATACTATAATAACATGCTCTAATAAAAGCAATGGAACTATGGTTGCTCTCCCTTAAAATACTTTGGGTATCATATCCATCTTTTTCTCTAAGGATGATGTTAAACCTATACAATGCTCATAGGTCATGAGCCAAGCTAGGCTAGTGATGTTGACTTTGCAGTACTATTTCGGATTACTGAAATAGTGGAAGGCTGTCGTAATGAGAAATAGCTAGAACTTAGCATCGTCAGTAGTGTCGGAGCTTTAATTTTCTCTTCAGTAAGGCCTTGTGTCTTGTCATGTGGAATTTCAGTTTTCCAACCAGTTCCCCTTTCCTTGAGAGACTCTTTAAACCAAGGAAATAATATCTCTAAAGCTGTAGCTAAATCTTCCCAAGACCTTTTTTCTTTCTCCTTTCAATAAAATGAGATATAGGGTTGGATAGATGTCCTTATGACAAGCCCTCCTTCTGTCTCGGATTTGCATATGGAAATGAGATCTCTGGACATGTGCATTGTCTCACCAGAGTACCTTTTCTTCCACCACCACCCCATCCCTATTAGGTGGACGCCCATGGAAATATCCTGTTAACATCACTGGAGGTTCACAACGAAGTGAACGAGGTCGCTGGCGGAGTGGGTGACACCAGGAATTCAGCAATATCCTTTGACAACTCAGGAATCCAGTACAGGAAACAGAGCATGCCCAGAGAAGGGCACGGGAGGTACCTGGGAGACAGAAGCACCCAGCACAAGAAGACACACTTACGGAGAAGGTCTTCGCAGCTCAAAATCAAAATCCCTGATCTCACCGATGTGAATGCCATTGACAGATGGTCCCGGATCGTGTTTCCATTCACGTTTTCTCTCTTCAACTTAGTTTACTGGCTGTACTACGTTAACTGAGTGACTGTACTTGATTTTTCAAAGACTTCATTTAACACTGAGTGAAATATTACCCCCTGCCTGTCAAGTTTTTATACCTGTACACACACACACGTACACACACACACACATATGCAGACACACACACACATATATACATACGCAATTGTATATATATGTGAACTTTCTCAGCATATATATAAAATACACGTGTATATGAGAATGTATGTGTATATGTTTATACATGCGAGTCTGGAGACTCGTGTGTATGTGAAACAAATACACATACATATATAACATTTTGCAGCTAAGGACAATTTAACACGGGATTGCATATTAAAGAAAGTCATAGTTTTTCTCTTTTTCTTTTTTCTAATTGAAAGGGACAAGTATCATCTAAATATTTCTACCTTGAGAATGAGGGCGTGAAACAACCATCCCATCCCAGAAGTGTGTCTTTTCTTAATCCTAAGTTAGCCGTTTTAGTTTTGAAAACAAAATAATACCAGAATGAAACTTCTCAGTCTGATGTTCCGAAATTCATACAGTGGTCTTTGCTAGTTTCAGAAGAGTCACGCCAACTTCATACCCTCCTCTTTTATGCTGACCAAAGGCTGGTTGGCTTTTACTGGTACTGGATTAGACTCTTTCCATAATGGTTTAGCACACACTTACCTGTGGTTTTAAGCATAGATAGAGCCCACATTGGTGTGTGAAACTCCATTAGGAGTGAATGGCACCCCACTGTAAGTACTTTTCAGTATTGGTATGTCCAGGGGGCGGGGATTTTGTTCAATGGAGTGGACCCAGCTTAACTGTCCTGTGGGAACGTTCAATCACTGGAAAAGTGCTCTAGGCCTGCCTGTGTCTCAGGTTCTTTGTTATCCTAAGGTAAAACCATCAAGAGGATGAATCCCCAGCCCCCCTGCCCCTTGCAGTTACGTTCTCATTCTTACAACATTGTATGTTAAGATGAAAATATATATATATATTTGCATAATATGCCTACACATGTATATTTACCGAGATTTCTGTTTTCTTATGCTTGCTCTCATGGCAGCATGCAAGTGTCATATTTCTTTGGGTTATGTGATGTAACCGCTTTCTGTTATCTAGAAACTAAGCCGGAATCTACAGCACTTCTAAATGTTCGCTTTCAGAGACTAAGCAACATCCTCATGCCTTTTATTTCTGTACCTGACATCTCCATAAGCACAGCTGAGTTAACTCCTAGATCGACTAGAATTCTGCAGGAACATGATCCGACACACACCACACATCACCCAGACACCCCAAGACCGTACTGAGGCAAAGGAAGGTGACCGGAACACAAACACAAGTCACTTTGGCTTCCTTCTGCTTCACAGCCTCATCAGTTATTTGGACTTTTTAAAGCTCGTTAGAAACAAGACAAGGTGCACTGGTTTCATAGATGCAACCTTAACTTACTATTTAGATGAGATCTTTCTAAAGAAAAAAAAAAGATGATATATTTTTTGTAAACAATATTTCTATCACAGGCATCCATAAAACTGAACATGACTACAGTTGTGCAAACAGTGTCACAGTGAAGTGAAGCCTTTGGGAGATGAAATTTAAAAAAAAAAAAAAAGCAAAATGTGCAGGAAAGTACTGCTAAATGAATGCTTTCCCTTACTCCCTCCACCCCCTAAAAAAGTGCCACATTTGTTTTACCCTTTTTGTTCTGTCTAAAAACAAAAGACCAGAGTCCTGTCTGGCACTCAAAAGGGGCTAGCACCAGCTTTCTTTACATAAACAAAGGCACTATACTCCCCAAGGATGGGCCTGGTGGTAATAATGTCCATGAGCTGACTACTAGATTTTTCTTTCGTGGCCATAACCAGGTTGCATTAGCCGTGGTCTGTTACAATTCAGAATGCACCAGCTGATAAATCAAAGTCCCTGCCCCCCTCCTCCCCCCCACAAAAAATCTTCTGCAAGAGGCAATCACCAATTTGTCTATGTTTGTTTCCCTCTTTTTCATTCTTACCCTTCATTAACGTTTTCTACCAACTGATGGTCTCTGGGTTTATTTTGATTCAGAGATTAGTTCTTGGTTCTTGGCTATTTCTTTTCCCCTCTGGCATGTAACAGTTTCAACCGATTGGGAAAAAAAACCTTGTAAGTGGCCTTATCTTTGTTCAAATGTTAAACACAAAAGACATTTATGAAGACCTTATCCCTTTCAATACTTCAGGTATGTGGTTGTTTATTTTTTCCTTCCGGTATCCAGTAAATCACGGTATGAGCTCCACCGAGACATGGACTCCAATACTGCAAATGAATGTGGACAAAGCAGTAAATGACTTATACACTTCAGAACTGTGACATTAATAATTTGTGCAAGAATGGAAGTGATTCAAACCATCTTGATGCATAGTTGAGGAATCCCAAATATCAAAGGCAGAGACCCTTCCCCTCTCCCCCATGGGGCTCAAAGTTTAGCAGTCTACTTCCCAAGGGTTTTTTTGGATATAAATTTGCATGGTATAGTCATAATAGCTTTTGAGCTTTTTATATGCATTTGGCACCAAGATTGGGATCCACAACTTTGTAGACACTGCGATGACGTTATAACATAATAGCTAAACTATAAATAGTGTTTGTAACTTACATGCACATACACACACAAATACACGACATATATTCTGTAAAAACAAACAAAACAAAACAAAACAAAACACAACTTTGTAAGATCCTTGGGTATGTATTTGCTTTTTTTTCCATTTCAGAAGAAAAAAATCCATTTTCTTCTAATAAAGTTATTTTCTAGCTTCTCCATTTTTAAAAGTTGTGAGAAGTAGTGAGAAGTGAACTCCAGCTGGGTTAATGAAGGAGAATAGAATCTGACTCTCCTCTCTGTTCCAAATAACCTCTCGGCATTTCACAGGGGTGATATCTTAAGCCAGTGAGCAAGCTATGCTGTGGTATTTTGAACCCAGACCTCTGACATTCATATGAGGTGGCTGTCACCCATAACCCACACTTTCTTGAGTAAGGAGAGAAATGTTTAATTGGGGATCTAATGAGATTTCGTTCTCAACAACTCAAAAGTAATAAACCGCTCATTTTCTCAGTAGTCCTGTCTTTCCCAGCATGCTTCATGGTGGATGGGAGGGGGTGCTTGGGGGGAATCTCAAAATGTACAGAACAGTCTTGTGAATCACAGTTTGTGATGACCCCCATATTCAGAAACCCCTGAAATGGTTCAAGATCCCTCCTGCCTATAAATCTCTACAGAGAAAGACTCATCAAGCTGGAGTCATCTTGAAAATAAATAGCATTCAAGACTGACTGTTTATAGAGGATTCGCTGTCTATACCATAAGGCATTCATATTTTCCCCCCTGAATCTCAAGTGAACTAAGAAAGTATTGTCATGAGAAAATGTTTCACATTAGGTTTTCAGTGGCGTGTCCATCTACAGTAGCGTGCGTGTATTGTTGTTTGTTGTTTTATTATTATTTTTTAAGGCCAGCATGGGGACTGGGAAGTCCACAGGTGCTCCCATGAAAAAGTTCTCTCCTGTCCCAAGGTGAAATGATGTTGTCATCAAGGAGACCGATCCTCTCAGAGGGTGATGCCAAACAAAGTTTGGGATTGGTTTTGAGGGAACAAGGCACATTTACAACTTTGTAGGTGTTCATGTTGGGCAGGACCCAAAGTTTTTGTCTCACCATGGAATGTTCTAGAAAGAAATATGGCCAACTTCAAATCTCCTGGCTTTGAAAGTCCTTAAACCCTTTTATCATTCCTATGTTAACCCCTGCACCTGAAAAACATCCATATTTCTGGCCATTTCTGAACCAACTGGTGGAACATTTTGTTAACTCTTGGAATCAATGGTGGCTTGTATTCAGTGAGCCAGCCGTAAGAGTAACATTGAATCTTGGGGCAAAACAAAACCAACCTGCCCAGGTGGATTAAATTTTCCCAGGACACTAGCTAGTGTGCCTCGGGTTGATTACCTCTTCTACTGCATTGAAAGGTGCCATGTTTTCCTGAAATACTAAATTCTCATCACCTGGGTCATCAGTAGCCACCCAGAGAGCGGCTCACACAATCAGGCCTCTCCCAGGGACACAGCCCCACGAACATGTCATTTGTGACTCATTTTTTTTTCCTTCTGTATTTCACAAGTCAGTGTTTCAAGGTAAGTACAGGATTATTCTAGTAGGAATAGGCAATTGCTGTCATGACCTATACCCATGTTGATTTCATTTCATTGTAAAGATAAATTTCAACTCGGTTTTGCTTAAGCACATTGGTGTATTTTTTTGGTATTATTTGACATGAAAAAAACAGCAAAATTGAGTGATAGATACAATATGAAACTTGTTGATGAATGAATTCAAATTTATTAAAAAAGGAGCTAACTGACTGAACTGTGGCGGCTGACTTTTGTTGTTTGTTGTTGCTCTTCCTTAGGATCAGTTGATGACAGTGTGTGGTTATTTTTAATCTAATTATTATTGCTGCTCGTGCCTATTTGTATGGGGTTGAAAGTAAAACAAATGATCTCCAAACTACTACAGGCTAGTCGAACCATGACTTCTATTTAAAAAAAAATCGTAATTTAGACTAAACTTCAAAAGTCAAGAAGACACACAAAAGTCCAACTTGTGCTTATCTTTCAAAGACTATTTTAAGGAGCATATCTATATGTCTACTCATTACCTCTGGAGAAGGTATTATCTCTCATTCTTGTGGGTTTGTTTTTTTTTTTTTTGCATTCTTGTGTTGTTGTTTTGTTTTGTTTGCTGGTCCTGAGGCTTGAACTTGGTACCTGGGCACTGTCCCTGAGCTTCTTTTGCTCAAGGCTAGCACTATACTACTTGAGCCACAGCACCACTTCTGGCTTTTATCTGTGATCAGTTGGAGATGAGTCTCATGGACTTTCCTGCCCAGATTGTCTTTGAACTACAATCCTCAGCTCTCAGCCTCCTGACCTGCTAGGATTCTGGGCATGAGCCACTGGTGCCTAGCTTTCATTCTTAAGTTTTTAATGGCTAGTTCCCTGTTTCCTCTCCAGCAATAAAGTGAATAGCAATATCTAGGAATGGATAAACAAGCAAATGAATGAATAAGTTC